CCCATCACATGACCTCCAGTATATAGACCCCATATATCCCATCACATGACCTCCAGTATATAGAATATATATCCCATCACATGACCTCCAGTATATAGACCCCATATATCCCATCACATGACCTCCAGTATATAGACCCCATCACATGACCTCCAGTATATAGACCCCATATATCTCATCACATGACCTCCACTATATAGACCCCATATATCCCATCACATGACCTCCAGTATATAGACCCCATATATCCCATCACATGACCTCCAGTATATAGACCCCATATATCCCATCACATGACCTCCAGTATATAGACCCCATATATCTCATCACATGACCTCCAGTATATAGACCCCATATATCCCATCACATGACCTCCAGTATATAGACCCCATATATCTCATCACATGACCTCCAGTATATAGACCCATATATCCCGTCACATGACCTCCAGTATATAGACCCCATATACCCCATCACATGACCTCCAATATATAGACCCATATATCCCGTCACATGACCTCCAGTATATAGAATATATATCTCACCACATGATCTAGAGCTCTGGCCAGGTTTTTATAGCCAGGAGGTGTAAGTCCGCCCCCGTCGCCGAAGCAACCAGGAGGCTTCTCTACCCCAGGAGCCAATGGCAGGCGAGAGGTGGTATGTGTGGTCTGGGGAGCTCCCCCAGCAAGGCCCACACCTGAGGCCTAAACGGGCGCAGGCGCACCAGCAACCCGGGCGCCAGTGGTTCTGCCAGGCTGAAGGGAGACCCGTGCCCACTGACCCTGCAGGGAGGTAACACCGCTGGTTCCCTGAGTCCTGACCTCAACCCCATAGAACACCTTTGGGATGAATTAGAGGCGGAGACTGCAAACCCCCTCCCTCAACATCAGTACCTGACCTCACAAATGGCCCAACATTCCCATAGACACACCCCTAAACCTTGTGGACGCCTTCCCAGAAGAGGCGGAGCTGTTATAGCGGCAAAGGGCGGAGCCAACCCAACACTGAACCTTACGAACTAAGACTGGGGGCCATTAGAGGGCGGAGCCAACCCAATAATGAACTCTACGGACTAAGACTGGGGGGCCATTAAAGGGCGGAGCCAACCCAATACTGAACACTACGGACTAAGACTGGGGGGCCATTAAAGGGCGGAGCCAACCCAATACTGAACACTACGGACTAAGACTGGGGGGCCATTAAAGGGCGGAGCCAACCCAATACTGAACACTACGGACTAAGACTGGGGGGCCATTAAAGGGCGGAGCCAACCCAATACTGAACACTACGGACTAAGACTGGGGGGCCATTAAAGGGCGGAGCCAACCCAATACTGAACCCCACGGACTAAGACTGGGATGCCATTAAAGTTGATGTGCGTGTAAAGGCGTCCCAATACTATTGGCAGTGTATATCCCACCACAAGACCGCTTATGTCCTATGTGCACAGTGTATCCTGCTAGTAGGTACAGACTGTATGTAATAAGCAAAGGACACACCCCCTGCCACGCCCCCATTCAGCCCACGAGGGATAAATATGTTCTTGTACGGACTACAAACATTTAGGATGGAAGGAGAGTTCAGTGTAGTATGACCCTAACGGGGCAATCCCTCCATATCAGGGACAGTCGGCAGCTGTGGACTTGGTTCTGAGTCCCGGTACAATGTGGGTCAATGAGCAGGTGGTCACGGGGGGGGAGAGCCTTGAGGGGGAGGAGGACAGGGAATAACTGACAGAAAACAGGAAGTGCCCTCTTTCTCTTTATATTGGACAGGAAGTGCCAGGAGTGACACCGGGGGCTTCCTCAGAACCAATCAGAACTATTGATACCTCCATGTTTCCCGGTACTGCTAAACACAACGGTTCAGGACCCACAATGGATATTCGGCTACAAAATGTCACTTTCCCGAGCTGGAGCACCGCGTGTTATCGCAGCCCCCA